CTTACTTTCTTGATATACTGAGAGTTGATGCCATCTATTCCTTATGTGGTCTAACAGACCAGGATGCACCTATAGTACCTCAGAATGTAAAAAATTGTTTAAAATTTGCAAATCTTCGAACTCCATGCAAGAGCTTTTTGCACATCCTGTCAATTTGAGCAGATAAAGTGTGTAGTTATTGTGTCTAATAATAGTATTAATAAATGAATACTAACTTTACCCTTAGAATATGATTATTATTTTACCATTACTATATTGAGATATTATACATGGTACATCTGATTAATTCATTATATTATTATACACCTAAAAGAAACTTGACTACACCATTACAGGGTATACCATAAATTTTCAAACACTTGACAGAATTATATATTTAAATTTTTTTTTCTAAACAGTTCTTGTAAAGAGTTAAGGAAGTTGTAAATTTTATGTCTCTTTTTATTAAACTGTGAAGTAGACACAAAATTGCAATCTGTTAGGCTAGAAATGATTTAGTTGAGGTGTTTAAAATGTATGTTTTGTAAGTTGCTTAGGTAGTCTTCCGATTGGTGCTGTTTAAATGATGCAATAAAAAGGGTGGGAGTAATAGAGTTAGTTCAAAGTTTGGAAGTCCAGATGAATAATGTTTTTTAACAACATTTTTTATGGGATTAGCTGTAAATTGTGTTGGTTATTTTAAGGATAAAGGCATAAATCAGTGGACTGAATGACCTTCTTTCATCTTTCACAATTTGAATATATGAATATTGAAGGGGTTTAAAACATGCATCATTACAATATATATATAGTGATTGTAACAAGACGATTATCTTCCAGTCATTATTTTATTGCTTTTAAACTGATCACCAGAATACATGTACCTTGCCTAATTAGGTACAGTGAACTAGTTCATCCAACACTGAGATGAACACTTATCCTTTAAAACTAATGCCATTATCACATGTCTTCCAAAATTCTTAATTGCATATATATTTTTAATGGATGGAAAGGGACATTCTTCACACCATATTCATTATATTTCTGTGTATTATTTCTAAGGTTTTTCAGATATTTGTGGCTGTTCACCATGAGTACTTTTATGTAATTTTAGTTGACAAAAAAAATAAGACGGAAGCAATGACGAAGTAATTTTGTACATTATGTACACTTCTAAATCTTTATTTTCCATTGATTTTCTAGTTGTCCAAATGTTATTTTAACCATCAGGGAACAGGAAATAAACAATTCTAACCCAGCAAATTATACTTATGTTTAGGATTGGGTTCTCATCACCTATATTTAGGACTTCTGAAGTCCATGTTACCAAATTTATCAGACCAAACAACAAAAGTTTTAACAGATAGTTTATACAAACTCTTGTATGTAATAAATTTGAATATTTCAGTTATTTCACCTCTAGTTTTTTTCTCCGAAATGGGTTCAAAGGCCACATGGATGAGTCACCAGTTTTAACCACTCAGTCAGTCAGTAGACACTAAGATGATATCACATAAGGGACGCTTAATGTTGCAATTTGTACTGACATGACACTTGTAAAATGTGTGCATGCCATGAATCATGAGAAGAATTACGCACTCTGTAGGCTACAACATAGCACAACATATGAACTTCAACAGCAAGAAATAAAAATATTTGTTACTGTTAATTCTAGTTTTATTTACTGTTTAAAGAAACACTTTTGGGGATCCTGCACAAGTACATCTAGTCTATATGTGTACTTCAAAAAAAATAAATGCAGATGTAATTAGAGCAATCCATGTATAAAAACAAAATGCTGCTGTAAGGGAATCAGTCAAGATAATATTGTAGCAAACACCATCATCCATTCTGAAGAGATTCTTTGACTTAATATATAAGCAATATACAAGGCAAGTGTCCTTTCCAAGTTACACAACTAAGAAATTTGCATTAAGGTCTATATATTGATTAAATATTTTTGGTGATGTTATAAAATTTTAGGCATATTTTCAAGTTAATTTTATGATTTCCAAAGACTTTGTTTTTAAACTTTCATATTATTTATTCTTCAGATAGCTTTCTGTTTACTCTATATGAAGAAATATGTAAAATATGTCAAATTATTTTAACTTTGAAGTTATAAACTTTACTGTTCCCTTTGTTACTAAAACATGTGACAATCCAAAACAAAACTACACATGGTTTGACATAATGTAGCAGCTGTTTGTTTTTAGTCCATTAGTAAAATTCTGCCGGTATTCACTGGTACTGAGTACCGGAAGTTATTTTTTAAGGTGGTACTAGTGCTGTGACTTATTTGAGCTGCTTTGTGATTTTTTTATGTTTACCAGTACATTTTTTTTTCAAGAACAGGTTTACTTCACCCAGCTGAGTACCTCTCCTTTTTTTTTAAGAATTTCACCCCTGCATTAATCTAACAACTAAATAAAAGCCCTGCTATGAGCTTTAATGACTTAGTTCATGATATAGTTAAAAAGTATTATTGCTGGTTATTATTCGATGTTGTTACTGATCTTGTAGTTGTTTAAATATTGAATATTGTTATTTTGGAATTAGTTTTTCTTCTTTTTTTAATTGAAATAATTATTAACATTGATATTTATGTTGTATTGTTCATTAACATTAGTATCAAGTCCTGGCCAGGCACATGTTTATTAAATGTGTTTTTGGTAAGTGATAAACTTTGTCTTCCAGTTGGTTGAAAGTTTTATTAATTTTTTTTGTACAATCCTGGTTGTAGCAGCTGTTTGTTTTTAGTCTGTTACAATTGTGCATGTTATTCTGGTTTTGAATCCCATTTTAATTAAAACAAATGTTTTTTTAATTAAACTAATACAGTGTAAAAGCTACTAAACAGGAAATTATCAATATTTTAAGCAGCATGCACAAGATATTAAAATATGCATTAGAACTTAGAAATGGAAACAAACTTGTAATATTACCTACCTATACTTTTCTTGATCTTTCGTTAAGCAGTGTAAATAGCAAAATGAGATGCATCAGGTGCTTAGCTTCTAGGGTTGCTCATTGTTGCAATACACTAAATTAAGTTGAAACAGATCTCAAATTCTAGTTATTTATCAGCAGTTTTATTTATATATGAAATTTTACAGAAAGTTACAGAAGAAAAATATGAAATCAAAGTTTTACAAGTTTTTTTTTTCTTTATCATAGGATGGCATTTTTTTGCCTTTGTATCTAATGTTTATCATAAAATGTCACAGCTTTTCTGATGACTTTGCTATATACTGTAGCTAATTTCAAATGCTGTAATGTAACACATATTGGATCAAATTATTTAAACCAGATGTTTTAGTAGCTCTTATGTGATGGGAAAAACAGAAATAAGCAAATAAAAAAGATGTCCACATGATTTGTCATTAAAGCTAAATGTAGGGGGCTTATGAAAGTTTCTTGTCTTAGAATATCAACTTTGCCATGAAATGTCTTTTTTTTTCATATATATTAACTGCAAAAAATGAGACTCAAGGATAATACTGACCATTTATAAATTCTGAAGGGAACTTTATTATGAAAAAAGAATCATGAAATACTAAAAATCTTTATTATTCATATATTGGTTTTCCTTTTGAAGGTGAATAACACATTTGCAAGCTTACTAATTGTTTTGAGGAGAACATTTTTTTTCTAAATTCTATTAGTGTTAAGGAATAACTTGTTCAAGAAGCTTAGCAAAGAGTTAGTAGAGGCTTTAGCTGATATTTTTTGGATATCTCTTGACACTGTGTAAATTCCTGGTAATTTGAAGATTGCCAAGGTTATATACATCTCTATAATTCACAAAGTGTTTAAATATGTTGTCAAAAGTCACATAGAAAATCATTTTTAGTGATTCCCAGCAAGGTTTTAAGTAAAAGTTTTCTTACAGTGTTGGTTTGTTGGAGTTTTTAGATAAGGTATTCTTGATAAAAAGGAGAGAGTGGCAATAGATAGATAACTTTTGTGAGAGTGAGAAAAAGACTAGTCTGATCTAAGGGGTCTGTTTTAAGACATATTTAAAGTAGTGTTCATGTTGATGCTCTGAATAACTATTAAATTTACCTATGATACTAGATTACTGGAAAGGAGTGATTCTGTTGATAATGTTTCTGTTATTCAAATGGATCTTAACAGTTTAACATACAGTGAACAGACCATATTGTGGAAGATTAGTTTTAATACTGAGAAGTATAAAGCTATGCAAATGGAGTATGAAACTTTGAAAAGGGCTTATTTTCAAAATGAGAGGAGGAGGCTTGTGTTGCAAAATCATAGAAGGGTTTTGGCATTATTGTAATTACAACCTAAAGCCTTTGCTGATTGTTTGATATGGTTAGAAAGAGGAAATGTACTTCTAGTTTAAAATAATTTTGCAATTAAAAACAAAGAGGTTAGTATATTCTTGTACAAGTTCAGTGGTGGCCTACTTAGAGTGATTTGTACAGTTTCAGTCTAGATGAATGATTATCTAGGTGAGTTGTTAAAGCTGTAACAGAACTATGACTGGTTTACTGTAAATTGAAGAAGAATTGGGGGGGGGGGCTTTATTTGGGCATTCAAAATTGTTAGTGTTTAGCTGTTTTCCTGTGGGTTGTCTGTTTTGGTTAATGACTAAGAAGGTTGGGAGTACAAACTTGAATATTAAAGGTAATGTTCTTGGTTTAAGCATTAGAAGCCCAGATGAAAATGTTTTCTTCAGTAGTATTTTTACACTTATAATCTTGTTGAATGGTTTGGACAGTAAGTTATTTTAATATAAAAGTTTGTTAGATATGTGGATGTTATTTTAATTTGAACTAGTATAATGATATAATTTCACTTTCTGTCAACCTTTTTTATTTATGTTCAGATCACCTTGTGTAATAACAAACCATACATGCATAAAACTCCGAATTAGGTCTAACCATATTCTTACACAAAGTGAAGAGGATAGTGATAAATCTTGGAATTTTATAAATATATCTTAGAAGCTGTTTATCTTTATTCAACACAGGCATTGGCTAGGAGTTCAAAGCCACAAGGATGTTTCAGATTTTACCTGTCGAGCTAGTTGTATCCTAAGGTAAAATGCAGCATTTACTTAACTATACACTTTTGATTTGATAGAAGTTATTTACATTTTTAAACATCAGGAATAAAAGTTTTAATGTACCTTTTAGTGGTCGAAGTTGACACAAATAACCCAGTGAGTGCATTTTTTAAATTCAATTAATAGATATATTTAGTACCTGAACTTTAAATTAAAAGAAATATTGAAGAGTTCCTGTATGAACTTGTATGTGTGTGTGTGTATAAGTATTAGAGCTAGGTAATTAATGAGTTTTACTAATTGATTAATCATCAGGTTTATTAATCACATTCAAGTAATCAATTATTCTGATATAAAACTTGTATAGAGCTGGGTGATTTAGTCAGTTACTTGTGAGCACTAATTACACTGATTTGTGTCATATAAACTGATTAATCAAACTATGATTAAATTAATTAATTGAAACTGGTGTTTCTGATTATCACTATTTTCAAATATTCCAATAGTTGGTTAATTGAAATTAGTGTTTCTGGTTATTACTGTTTTCTAGCTATTACTGACAGTCAATTCATTGAAATTCCAATTATCTTGATTGTCCTGAAAATAATCAACTAATCAAAATTAGTTTTTTTTTACTATTACCGTTTGCAATTATTCTAACAGTCAATTAAATTAAATTACAATTAAATCAGTTGTAATGAAAATAATCAACTAATCAAAATTAGGGTTTCTAATTATTGCTATCCAAGTAATTGAAATATTGCTATTATGTTTTTTCTTATTAAGTATAAAATTTCATAATATGCTATCTAAGCTCTGCTCAATTTAATCTTGATAATTTTTTTTTTAATTTCAAGTTTGTTTAGCTTAGGTGATTTGGGGATGGGGTCTTGGAGTTTGATTCCCATTGCCACCAAACTGTCTTGACCTGTCTTTGTTATGGACAGCATTTGATGACAACATGTTTTATTTTCAGACATGTAAATACCATGGTTTGAGAAACACTGTACCTGGCTTTACACTTTGATAGTTGGAATAATGAAAGATACTAATAAGTGGAAGCACTTGTTTTGATTACTTGATTATTTTCTTGAGTAGAGACACTAAGTGATTGAGCTGAAACAACCTTGAATTGATTGAAAATAATGAGTAATCGTAATGGCAATATTTCAATTATTAGGTTAGTTGGATTAATCAAAAACAGTTGACAGTTCACTTGACACTAACTGATGTAATCAATGCTCATAGATAATCAATTATATTGACTGAATTAATTACCCAGCTGTAATAGATACATGTATATGTAAATTGTTATTTGTAACACAATATAAAAAAAAGATTGAACAAAATGATGGGCAGTTGTAAAAAACATTTATTGAAAAAAAAACAATGCCAGTAATTGCAAATCAGACTTGATGGTATCATCACCTATAGAAGATCATTGAATTATCAGTACTGTAACTTGTATATATGATTAAGATCGCATAGGTAGCTTCATGCTTAACATTTTTGATTCTAAATATGTATTAAAGTGTATTTGTTTCTATTATACTGAAGAGTAGTTTCTACAAGTCAGTAAAGGATTATAAGACAGTTATTTTCTGTTAGTACAGGAAATGGTAGTAAAACATGAAGTATGTCTAAAAAAACAATATAGGGTTTACTCCAGTATAAAATTAATAAAGGCTAGTGATTTTATTGTATTTATGTACATTTATAATGTATTTACCATTAACACTCAAGTTATTCAGTTTCACAATGAAGCTTTTTGTGTAAAATCAGTTTTACAATGATGCTTTTTTGTGTGAACATTTAATAGTTAAAACCAACAAAAATATTTTGTAAGTAGTGCTGCTATCTGGTAATGGAAACTTGAATTACAGTGCTTTTCTAAATAAAATCATAAATAATATTTAATATTAATACACAATTAAAAACATTTTATTTAGGCCTATCTCTGGCCTTCAAAAAGTTGACGACTCTACATGTTTCAACGTTGCAACGTCATCCTCAGGAGTGAATTACAAGACAGTGTTAAAGTATTTATAACTTGTTAGTAGGTCATGTGACCTGTATGCTATTTTACATAAATTCACGCTAAACCATTCAAAAGAAATCAATCCACAATCTTGCAGAAATATTTGTCATACCTTCATCTGTATTTAATACTACATGATCTTTTTTATGTTTTATTATTTCTAAGGATTCATGAATATTATTACCTATTATACTTTTTGGTTGAGCTAATATTACAGTTTTCCCATAATATCGTGTGTTGTGTTTCCTGTACACGTTCTGCTATAGATGAATTTTCAGTTTTTTTATTTTTTACATATCCCTTATCCTTATTTAAATGGTATTTTAAATTGCATTTTGTCTGTCCAGTGTGAATACTTCCACATTCACATTCTATTTTATATATTCCAGTCTTTTCAGTTAACTGTATTTCGTCTTTCGTAGTACTTAACATTTGATTCATCTTATTTATCGGTTTGAATATAGGGTAGAATATCTGTTGTTGTTTTTTTTTAACACTTTAAATAAACTAGTAGTTATACCTGGAACACATGATAAAATTAAGCCTTCCTTTCTAATTTATTCATAACTAGGTTTTAAAGTATTAATTTGATCAATTTTTATAGCATTAGTGAATTTCTTAACTGCCCTGTCTATAATATTCGTATTAAAACCTCTTTCGAATGCTATATATTTAATTAATAACAATTCGTTTTTTAAATCCTTTTGGTTAGTACATATCTTCAAAGCTCTGTTAACTATAAAACTATAAAATGCAGACATTTTTTGTGACTTAGTATGACATGATTCTTGGTGTGTCGGCATAAGAACAGGAAAAAGTTTACAGTAAACTGATGTTTCTAAATTACCTTGTACATTCCTTTTCACCAATACATCTAGAAAAGGCAAGCTATTATTTTTCTCAATTTCAAATGTAAATTGTATAGATGGTTCAATGCTGTTCAAATAGTAAGCAAACTCTGTTAATGCCTTATTACCATATTTCCACACCAAGAATGTGTCATCTACATACCTTATCCAAATATCAGATTTACATTTTGCATTATTTATGGCTTTAGTTTCAAATACATCCATATATAAATCACATAATAATGGTGAGAATGGTGATCCCATAGCTAACCCTTCATTTTAAACAATAATTTCTATAAAAACTATAGACATGGTTAATTTAACTAAGGTATGTGTTACGAATCTATTTTTTCAAGTTTCAACTGCTGAAATTTTGTTTTCTAACAATTTTGTTACAAAACATTTAATTGCATCTTTTACTGGAAATAGGGATACTACATCAAATGATACTAACAAATCTTCCTTATTTAAGCTTACATTTTTTATTTTCTCTACAAATTCTAAAGCATTTTTAACTGTATATTTATTTTTATTTCTCAAAAACAAACATTTCTGGGCTATATGCTTAGCTATTTGATACGATGAAGTACCTATACTTGATACTATTCATCTAAAGCTGTTATTAATTTTATGTACTTTTGATTTTAACTTTATACACGAGTGCCAAAATACAATAATTATTTTCTAAATAGTTTTCAGTGCACTCACTAGATGGCATTAATATTTAGTCATACAGTAGTGAACAGCTGAGGATATTTTAGATCATTTCTGCAACCAAACCTATACAGATATTCTTGCACCTTCCCAAGTTTCCTGGTGCTACTGTACTTTTAGATATAAAGAGGTGCAACCAGCACTGAACTTTATTTAATTTGTGAATTATATGATGTAAGTGACTTTGGAACATAATACAACTTTTCTAACCAGAATGGATAAAACAAAACTCAGTGTTATGAAATAATTTCTACCATTAAAGAAACCAGGATGAAATTTTGAAATTTTCAGTTGTAAGATTACAGAAAAATATATACCTTTGTAATACAGAAGTGTACTATGTATTTTCTAGTCCTTTAATTAATGTGTAATATTTTTTCAATAGTGTATTTTTAATATTGCTTTTTCACTAGAAGTGTGCTGTGGTTGTACTACGTGGTTAGAGAAACAGTCATTTTTCTTGTTGGAGAATCAGATAACAGCTAAGGGCAATCAAACCATTTACAAATGCATGGCATGCTCACTTGGATGGGTCTGGGTGCTGATTTTGGTTTATTGTGTATTTTGCATTCTAGTGCATGCATATATATTTATATGCACTTCAAGCTTTACAGATCCACACAATATAAATTATCAATGCATCTGTTTCAATGTATAATTTGAAAAAGTTGGTCACAATGTTAGGAAGAATGTGGTAGAAGTACCTAAACTGGGCCTTCTATGTGGTGGTTGGGACCACTTGTGAGCTTCTTAGTTACTATATCAATACTAATTGTTTACAAGACTGTTAACTCATACACAGACAGACACATAGATGAATGTATGTCTGTTAAAATATTCCAGGCCATGGAAGAAAATTGCATTGTAACAAGCAGTACTACAAACATGAATAGAGCATGTTAATTACTTTCCACAGCATTCTACATTTGTAGCCCTCATATTTTGAACCTTCTTAAAGACAATATCATGAAACTGAAGATGTGCTCTACACTTGAGATGTAATGCCTTAATTTTATAGAGCTTGCCCAAAAAGGTTCTCATCTTTGAAATGTACTATTCACTGACATCTAGAAGAAGAAAGAATCAAATGTCTCTCTGAAATTTTCAAAAACACATTAGGGTTTTTATTGTGTTCTGCCATACTGTATTAGTTTAATCTAAACAAAATTTGCTATCCAGATTCTTTTATATTCTGAAGAAACCATTATTACTCTGATAGTGATCAAAGTTCAAATTCTGAACAATAGAATGTTCTGGGGTGAAAGTTGAGACAATAGCCAAGCTTTTTGACTTCTTACTAAATTAATCATTCTCTAATATGAAAAGAAGCAAATTCTCATTGCTCTCAAGAAATTTAAGGAACCTGCATTTCACTTAGTTGGCATAGTTGGAAACATTTTTTTATCCTATTTACACTTAGATGTGGGTAGGTTTCTTTCCTGGAAAGAGATATTGTTAAAGTATCACAATTAAGGAAGGTCAGAGGAGATGCCTGAAGCTGATGAGAGAGAATTACTGTCTGATGTGTCTCAGTACAGTATCCAGGAGGGTTTGTGGGCTAAATCATTTGTATGGAATATCTGAAAGGTAGAAGTGATCAATTAAGAGTCAGAGAAATTGTTCACTACCACACAATGGAAAGGCATTTGTGAGTTGTCTTCCTAAGGTACTTGTACCATTCTTAGCTTCCCTTCATTTTCTCTAATGTGTGACCCTTCAATAAGTGAAGATTTATCACTCTAAAAAAAGATGAAACAGACTTGCTTTAAAGAGAGCTTGCATCTTAATGAATATAGCACACAAACAAAAGATTGTGGCCAGAGTAACACAAACTGGAGAACAAGCATATAAACACATACATTCTGATTTGACCAGTCAACCTTAAAGTGAGTGAATTTTTTGTAGGATCATTGCCTTTGATGAGATTATTACATTCACAAAATAGAAAGATGAGGTAGAAGCTTAAAACATTGAGAAATAGTTGAGAATGGAAACAATACTGAGAATTACACATAAGTGGAGAAGAACCATGCCATGAATCATAAAGTTTAATATTAAATTTGTATTCCCTCACAGACAGCTAATTAATTGAGAAAAAAATAGTTTTTTAAACTTTAATAACAATAATGATTTTTACATGTGCAAATAGAAAATTGCAAGTTATTACCTTGAGTTAATATACTTATATTATAAAGAAAAATGGGTAATTATTGTGTGATTTGGTATTTTAATGAAAACATAGCTGTAATGTTATTGAATAAATACCCACCTACTAATAATTATATCTGTTTGAAATACACTTTAAAACATTAAAAACAGTAGTGTTTCTGCAGTGTCAGGAATGCTAAAGAGTACAAGTTAGTGGTGTAGGCTTTTATAATACCATGTTATAAACAAGCTGAATGCCCATCCCATAAAGGGAAGTAATGATTAATTTTTCATCTCAAAATTATATGTAAATAAATGTTTTATAAAAATTAATTATAATTTAGTAACAATGTAGAGAATGGCTATCCTATTTTTAGCATTTCACGAAAATATTTTTTAACGTATATTTGGTTATCTCCTCTAAGTATTGCTTGATTTGCATTTTGACTTCTGTATATTTTTAAGTTACGTTCAAATGTTCTTCTTGATAAATCCTTATAGATTGCAACATGCAAAAGAACTGATTCTCAAAGACATATTTCTAGTCATTGATCAGGTTTCTCTGACTGCATAGCTTTTCTTTTATACTGTTCATGTTGCCCTTATACTTTCTGTCTATCAAAAAAGTGATGTGTTTTTCTATATTGGCTCATCTGCCACTCCCTCCCACCAGGCCATTTTACTGTTGCCCACCTTTCAGCCTTCTTTACCTAGTTGTTGAACCAAGAATTGTTGATTACTACCATAGCAACTCTATCTGGTGGCCTTGTCAACTACCTTTTGATTTTAACCCAATAGTTATGTCTTTTCATCTTGTTCTGGTCTTTTCTCATTCATTGTCCCCTTCATCCAATTCCTTTGCCTATCTGGAACCTAAATTTGGTCCTACACATTCTTACCACAGTCTCATCTGAACCATCCATTGGCCACTTGCTTATTATACCATCTTTCTCAAAATCTATTTCCTTTTACTTCTTTATTATGGTCATCGCAGATCTGATCTTTATGCATTAGGTGCCTCATGTACTTTGTTTCAGAGATCTTCCTTGCTCTTTTTCCCTGACTACTTGTTTCTTCCTAAAACTTGTGCAGCTCGGGAGAGAGATTATTTCCTCCTTTGTTACTCTTTCATTCATCTAAGCCTTGAGCAGTCAGAAGTTACTTGGCATGCACAGCTCTGTTTGGGGTTCCCACAATTATTTATTCTTGACATGCAACCCCTCTTCTTCCAGAGATTTCTCATTCTTTACACTTATTAGATGGATTTGTCAACTCATTCGGATCCAATATTCCTCCTTTGATGGAGGTGCACACTGGCTGTATCATGTTTCATCACATTAAACCAGGGCCAGGAGAGAAATCTTGGGCTCTGGTGCTTCCCCTGATTCTGGGTTCCTCATCCTCTCTTATCCCCCTCCCTCCCTCCCTCAGTCATTTATATTATCTTTTCCCCTTGCAAGACTTACCAAAATATTTTTTTATTTAAGCTCTCCATGCTCTATCATAGTAGCCAGTCACAGTTTTGGATGTCTCAACCAACAAGACATGACGCAACATCTTAAAATTGCCCTGTGGGAATGTTCACCAATGTGCAGCATCAGCATATAAATACTACTTTCTTTCTTTCTTTTTTTTTTTAGTAGTAGAGAGAGAGAGAGAAGGAGGACTTTTTGGTATCGTATACGTGGAAAATATTTGCTTGAGCCCGGGCTTGTACGATTCACCTCTAGGAATCCACCCATTGCCAAGTTAAGCCTCTCAGGATATATTTCCCTAAATCTGCAGGGAGTCAGAAAGATAGGGTTTTCCAGAAGACCACTACAGTGGTATGTGTGTGTCTATATATATTTCATTGTCCATTCCAGACTGTACCTTGTATAGACTATCATAGAAAAAGCCAGCACCAGGGAAATGTCTGCCTGCTTCCCTGGCTCATGCATGCTGATTTTTCAAATTAAGTTTCACGTTAACCCATTGCACTTTCTCCAGTAAAAGACCTTTGTAACGGTTAGTTCCGATCAGGTCCAGACATCTCTCCATTGTCTCCCAAACATGAACTCTTCTCTCCTTGGTCAACAAATAGAGCATGGGTTGATCATGCACTTATCTGCCCCTTCCAGCAACACAGTAGCTTTGCCTTGCTCCATTTGTATGTCCATCTCAGTGAAGAGTATACCCTCCATGGGATGTATGCAGTCTCTCATGGCTGTTGCCTATTTAATAAGCCACCCCCCCCCCTTTATAGGGTGTCTCACATCATGGCCTTTCCTCTTCAATCGCCTTTTCTAAAGGAAGCTTATCTAGGTTTTTGCAATTGTACTGGCCCCTCCACCTAATCATTGTGGGATTCTAGCTACTACTGTGTGAAGAGAGGTAATTTCGGAAGTTAACATTTTGCTTACCTGAAAATGTATTTGTGATAGATACTTACCTGTCTGTACACCTCCACACCCTTCCTCCCCACACGGTTGCACATTATTTTTGTTTCTTCTAAGGATGAAGTTAATTTTGATTGCAAGTGCTTATGGATTTACTACACACAGAGGATATGTCACTCTCATATTGGTGGACTGCTATTATCATGTGATGATTACACCACACTAGTACAGCTCATATTAACACACTTGTCTTAAGTAGGAGATAGTTTGAGGGTAATGGCATGCACAAAATCTCAAAGGCAGATGCACAAGGAATAGCTATTGTGTGAATAGATAAGTATCTATTGGAAATGCATCTTCAGGTAAAAAAAATGTTAACTTTTATTATTTAACCTAAGAAGTTTCTAAGAAATTTAGCACTTTAGGCCTTGAGGTCATTTATTTTTGGAGGTCATGCTTTTGTAACCCTACTTTTTTCTTACTGTGTTGGTTGTCCAAAAATAACTCGCATAGCTATAAAATATGCATTTTTAGAACACAATATATATATATATATATATATATATATATATATA